TCATGAAGCAGTTCAAACTGTGTATGCTAATAAACAGGGATAATATCGATGATGTCACAATGTGCCGGCTGAGTACCCCATTCACAGTAAGCATGTGGTTTCTGCATAACCATGTCGACGACTGTGTCCTGGGTGGCCCAGTGTCCGGTGTACTACTCACTGTAGTCATAGCTACCGAATGTTGGTGCCGCTCAGGAACAGTTGTTGCTCAATTCTGAATCGTCTGCTCGGCTGGCACATTGTGACATCTGGATATTGTCCTTGTCAGTTGCATACAGTTTGAATCACATCAAGAAAGATGGCAACTTTGATTTTGAGCTCTTTTGAGGTAATAGGAGAGTTTCCGATTTGAAGGGGAAAGTTCTCTTTTCTCCCAGAATGTAGGTAAACCTTTTCACCATCATTGGAATCTCCAATTCCCACTGAATCCTACAGCAGGCACATTAGACAATTTAAGGACCGTTTTGGAGGTGAAATCTAAGGATTTTGATTCAGGGTACAACGTATTTTGAGTAAAATAAATTCATGGTAAAGAAGGCCTACGGAAGGTTCAAGCCAGCGTTTTAGCTAGCGAGCCGTGCAGCCGTGGTTTGCACGGCCAGTTTTGTGAAATCACGGCCCATTTTTTCAAGCGCTGCCTAGAGGTGCAAATCAAGCCGTGAAGTACTTAATTGGATGCTTGTGTAATAATACCCAACCTAAAATGTTCAGTCAGGTTGTGTAAATTCACAACTTGTGTAACTTGAGTATTAAAACACAGTGAGGAAAAGAAAAAAATAAGAAATTCATGTCAGGAAATCCTGATAAGAATTTCCAGACATCAGACAGCCTTTACTGCCTGTTTAAATTCATTTAGGGAAGTGCATGAAGTACATGTGTAAATAAAAGAAATTGTGTCCGGATTTTCAGGTAGTGACGCACTGAATCCATCCATGGAGCCAGTATTTACACTTGATTCCTAACACCCAACAGACATGTAAAAAGACAGAAGGGCATATGTACATGCACATGTGTAAATGAGATTCTCAGAAAATATTTTGTGCACTTCCTAGTAATTTTGGGGGATCACAAAATGTACACAGAAGTTGTGTGTTTGTACAGAGCTTGAATAATGTTCGTACTCGTAGCCTTGTGAAGATGTATCCTTTTGTGAGAAATTAGCAAAACACCCTTCTCTGAAGACTGTTATTTTCCACAAAAGTTCAGTTCCCTTTTACACACGGTTTAAGGTGAGAGTGAATAACATTTAATTAACGTAGCTGATGGCACACGTGTTCATAAAAACTGGTTTAACTCACTGCAGTGTATCCATGGACCACAAAGATGGCACCTTTGAACTACATGTAAGAAGTGTAAACAACCTGTCAATTAACATCACTCTGGTAAACTGTTCCTTGTTAAAATTCCTTGTTACTAGGCTGCAGTCATTTGTGCACTATGTTCCTTTGAGGCAACAAAATTACTCAAAATCTGAAGAAGGGTGCCTATTAGAATAAGCCTGATGAAGTTTCTGCTCAGTGAATGCTACACATTCAGAGGAAAACTATATTTTAGGATTTTGATTTTAGATCAAAAGTTGCTGGGTTTTGTTATAAATTGCACCTGAATTCTCATGTTCAGTCAAAAGTAGCTACAGGTATGCAATGTCATGCACTGAACTGATGAATCATAGTAACCACGTCAGGGTTCTCCCAGGAGGTTTTAATGTGTGGGGGATTTCTGTCCTTGTTCACTGACATATTGTGAAGCCATGGTGTGGGGTTCAGGGTCCACTTAACCCTCCTTTGGTTTTACAGCACAAATGTGCACAAATGCCCACAGTCACTGGTGAGCATGTATTTTCTATATGGAACTCAAACATGCACAGGCTCAGTGTGTACACAGTACCGGTAGATTGCCGGCACAAAATGACCCAGGGTCTTTTGTGCAGTCCTCTTCACTGCATTTGGCTTACTGCACAATTATGCACATGAAACAGTGAAGCTCAGTTGTTGGGCAGCACAAAAGTGCAATCTGATATTCCTATGAGGGACTGTTGGTGCAGTGCACAACACAACACAGCTGTGCTTCTTTGAGGTGTTCACCAAGTGACCTAAAGAGTGACTTCAGCATAGGAGGGAACTTTTAAGGAAATTTAGATGCTGTCTGGTGCATTCTAGAGCATTTCCGGAGCTTTTTACTTGTAATTTCTCATGGGAAAAAATGACAGATTTAAAAGTAATTGAGTGCTTTATTTCAATGATTTATTTTCATTTTTTTTACAAACATGTTTACATTGCAAAAACTTGATAATGATTTTGAATTGACAAATCTCTTGATCGGCAGGTGTTGCAGAGTTCTATTTTTGAACCGTAGCCCATTTCCATTCCTGCTTTTGGCTGTGCAACAGTAGGATATCTGGCCAATTTTTGGCATATCGGCAATGATCAGGCAAAGAATTACGTGTATTGGACTGAAACGCAAGTTTGTGCGTGGGGAGAACCCTGCACGTGAGCAGGTGTATCCTGTCAATGCGAGCATGCTTGTAAGGGCGGTTTTCAAAAAAATCTGTCTTTCGATGCATCACCAGAAATGGCCTTCTTTCATTGTTTCTTCAAAATGGCAGATTACCAGAACGAATAATTTCAAAGGGCGTTTTGTCCCAGAACCATCTTCAAATCAAGCATGCTCTTCAACAGTAACTTTGTCACTTACTTTTTTTGGATAACTGCAAATGAGGGACTGTACCTTTTATTAAGTATTGTCAATTTTCCACTCCAGTCTTTCTGAGCATGCACAGTTGCACACACACATGTACATGGTACATGTGTATCTTGCACACTAGAAGTGGGTTACAAAGGTGACAGTGCTCAGTGTACTAAAATAAACATGATTCTGATCAGTGAACACTTTTTTTTAATACACATGTATATGTACAGTACATGTAGATACATGAACTGTACATGTTATGAAAAGGGTGTGTAGTACCAACTAATACAAGTTTATGTGCACACCTCAATGTTATAAGCCTCTCCTTTGTTTATAAACATGGAACGCCATTTTGTGTGGGTGGTGTTCCTGCATAAATTCTTATCAGAAGTTGGTCAGCTGGAGTTTGGGCTCAAAATGGCACATTTTATGCGGGCCGTATTTAAAGAGGTAAGATGTTATTTTAGCTTTGTCAGTTGCTTGTTTAGTGCAGTTATAAGTGAATTCAATAAGCCTACCACTGCTCACAGTACATGTATGTTCAAAGCTGTGTGTGTTGAAGAGATGAAGCCGCGATATTGCAAAAGCAATGTTCAGGTGGACCTGTATTATCAGGAAGTTGATGGACAGATAATTGGTTGCCTGTACACGTACCTGCGCCATACCGTATGTAGCCTGCTTCTAAGTGAAACCACTTTGATTGTACATACGTGTACGTGCATTGGTTTGGAATTCTATCAGTTCACTTCATGTACTCGGAGTATCCAGACTCTATGTACCGGTAACAGACTAAGCCTTATTTAGCAAAATGTTTTCCGTTTGTTTTACGATCGGTTGACATTCTTGTTGAGTTTAGCCTAACCTTTGGCATTGTGGTCAGTGTGAAGGTTGACTTTGACAGGTTCCAGGATAAAAAACATGTCCATGCGTAACAGCTCCCCCCAAAAAAATCCTCACAAAACTGAGTTTACATGTACTGTACCAGTACATGTACATGTACATGTACCGGTAACTTCCTTGTCTAGTGACTTGTACATGTACAATGTATCTTTTAAAGAATTTGCATGTAATTGAGCACGCTGAGATCTGCACTGAAAGTTCATTGTTCTACCCGCACTTCTATACCAGGCAAGATACGGGACAGAGGGGTACCCCCCTTAACTGTCCAATCCCTGTACACACTCTAGACTATTGTTACCTAACACACCCCCCTAAAAGTCTGTAAAGAATTCCTGAGATTCCGATTAAACAATGACCAACACAAAGGTGGGGGGGGTTCTCTCCGTCCCATATCTTGCTTGCTTGTTGAATATGCTTGTGACATGGGCGGCATTGGCTCTACATGCACAGTAAACATACATGTACATGTATAGTTTGCACATGTTCATACGCAGTTACTGTCATTGACTAAATGATTTGGACATGCATAATGTTTTACATGTATGTACATGTATGCGCACATTGCACTTTGTATGTACATGTACATGTATGTGTACATGTATCTCACCTTAACCCTCCTCAGTCCTCCAAAATCCTCTTTGTGGTTTTGGAGGATTTTGGAGGATTGAGGAAGAGTGGCAAAAGTGTTGCAGATGTGCGAAGGATGCATTATGTCAAGGTTGTGGGCGAGACCTTGTGTTGTTTATGCTCAGCCATGCAAAAATTCATACCTACCTTCGATGTGAAATCCTGCGCACTGCTCCAGGACACCATTCACACTGCCTCAACATGATTGCCGGAGGATTTCAAGGAACCCCTCAAAGGAGCATATTCAAGAACTGCTGGAAGTTTTTGGAGGATTGAGGCTGAATGCAATTTTTTTTGCATGGATAATTGGAGGATTTTGAAGGATTGAGGATGGTGCCTAGCAGGGAGGCCTCAGGGTTTAGGGCTAAAACACAGGAATACTATTTCCATAATTTTTCACGTGATTCCATCCTTCAAAGCATTTGGTGATTGATGTACATGTACATTTTCTGTGCATTGCGTTCAACTTGTTACAGACAAGTACCGCACATGTACTTTTACATGTGTGCATATTTACATGTACATGTGAATTAAGGTTTACAATGCACACTTTGCCAAGTTCACATCTTGAGTGCCACATGGACTATGTATAGTGTAGATATGGGTAGTATGGGATATGAGCACGGAGGCTCCTAATTAGCTATTTCCACCACTTCATCCAAATACCTCCAAATATGGAATATGTGGTCGAGCCAGCCAGACAGCAGGTCAAGTAAGCATCCAGTGTTTCAGTATATGTATGTATGTACATGTAAGTAGCTGGATACATGTTGGATGTGCTGGCCGTGCCCTTAAATTTGGAATAATTCTACGGCCTCAACCTGGCACGGGCGCTCAAGTGGTCTGTAGAGTTGTGACCGAGTTGTTCTGGGGAAACATGTCGGAACATGGCGAGGTGGTGGAAGAGGGTGCAAGTGACATAGCTGAGAAGAACGGCCACACCCAAGACAAGGAGGAGTCGCCGCCAAAGTTGCCCAAGCCCAAGATGCCCAAGCCCCGAGTGGCTCGGCCCAAGGCCCTTGGACGGAAGTCATCCAGAGGAGATATCACAGAAGGTTTTGATTTTGAGGTACATCTGCATGACGTAACGTAAACCAGCTTGTTTTGACTTCTTGTCCCCGTGATAAATTGGGAGCAACGCGGAAGTACACATAACTTTGCAATTTAGCCAAATAACACTTCAAAAACTCAGCCCAAAGTGGTGCTTGTGGATGTGTTACTGATTGATATGAAAAAAAAATCTCTACGCAGGTAAACTATCCCTTGCAGGTAGAAACATTGCTTTCGTATTAAATAAAAAGCAGAAGTCAAAATACACGTATACATAGTTGCAAGTGTCTTGATGCTCTGGGTGTGGTATTCCTTTAAAGTTAAAGTTCCTTATTCAAAAAAAAAAAAAATGCACGAGAATCAAATTCCAGATCTGAATGACAAGGAACAAGGAACTTGGTCAACACAAATTATTTCCAAGCACTTGATTCCATCCATTTACTCCAAGTTCATTGGACAGAAAGCTGATTTATTGTCTGTAAAAGCCCAGATGTCATCTCCCTTGTCTGACATTGGCAAGAGCTCCAGGGAGACTACATGTAGACTCCTTGGACGCCTGTCAAATTTCACTACCAGGATATTTTTATTTGCCAAGATGACCAGAAGATAAGTAAACTGTGAGGATCATCCATAGTTGAATTGGGCCACTCGATTAGCAACACGTCAATAGCATATTATAAATATAGCTTACATGTACAGTGTAAGTGCATCATACGACCTACCGGTACATGTATTCTGAGTTAATGGTCATGGTAGTGAACCTATTCAAATTGGAGCTGTGGTTGTTTGCAGTTTTTGCCTTGGCTTATTTTTGTTGAAAGTTGTATCTGACCTGCCAAGTTTCTAGACAATATAATCCACGGATTTTAAATAGCGTGTAATACGGTCAATTCACAATAGTGCGCTTCCAAGAGTTTGCAACGTCTTGACCAATCACATTGCGCGAAATCTGTCGACCCTTTCCAAACGCTCATTGGGTCGACAGATTCAGGGCACTGTGATTGATCAACGTGTTGCAAACTCTTGGAGGCTCACTACCGTGAATTGCCCGTATTACGTACCGTAATTACGTAAAGAAATAATGGCATGGCTGTAAGGCTACAAGTAAGTCCTACTCTGCTGGGACTTTTGGATTTAGGTTATGGTACATGTAGTTAGGAAAAACAAACAAACATTGCATTACTTGTTTTATGTACGTCTAGGCTTACGAAACAGTAATTGATCAATTTCTTTCTTCTGGAGACATAAAGATTTTCAATTTTCACCATATTTAAGTCCCTGTGAATTACCAGTCAGTGCAGCATTCTTTCCTGTTTGGGAGAAAAAATATTCACTGAAAACTATCTTTGTCTTAGTATGGTCCCGCGATACCTGCTTCACACATGTACATGTTGATTACATAGATCTTGATCACCTGGAATGTAGCTTGTATTGCTAGCCTTTTGCTGATATTCTTAGCACCCAATTACGGTACCTGTACATCTGACTTTTTCTCTTATGTTCCAAAATCCTCCCCTCCCTAAAATTGACCTCTCCCGACATGCTTGGAAGCATGTACATGTACATGTACTGGTGATGTACATGTACATGTCCATGTACATGTAGGCCCATAATGCTGTGTAAAAAGGGTTGACCACAGTGCGAACAAACCTCAAGACATTTTTGCCTAATCTTCAGTAAATACATACATGTAGAGTACTCACGTTTGTGTTAGTTTTCCCAAACAATTTTAAAGTAATTTGATCCCTCCCACAGTTACTGGTAGAGGTGAATGTACAGTGTATTAATTTAACTTCCTTCAGAAAATGGAGGGCGTTCATTTGATCTTGGTGAACTATACGCTTCAGTCAAGCCTGTCTACAAGTCGAAGTCAAGGCCCAATCCATGCAAATGCACGTTCGTCGAGAGCGTCTGTACCATATCCTTTGTGCATGTGCATACTGCAAGCCTTAGGATGTGTCATCAGTTCAGTCAGTTACTGAGCAGGAATGCCATAATTGAGGGACTACCTCAAAATATTGACAGTTCAACAGCTGTCTAGCATGTGGGGGTTAATCACACCCCAAGACCATTATGAACTCCAGATAGCCACTTCATAATACATGTGATATTGTGAATGGGTACATTTTACATAACTTGACACCTTGTGTTGGTTTGATGACAGTGCCCTGCTTACGTTATGAGGCCATACAAAAAAAAATTGTGTCTTCCATTATATGACTGATCCTGGAATATCAAGGAGAGCCTTTTCCTTATAATTTATAAAAAAACCTGTGGTGCCAACTATACATGAACAGTGCCTGAATATGCATACAAATATTTTGTTTTTGAAAGATTTGATATGTTACAGTGTTAAGTTTCTTCACTGACAAAAGTGGGCTTCTGTTGTGTGTCTTTATTTCATTTTACACAAGGCTGCCTGCTTTCTCAGTGCAGACAAGTTTAACCACTTGACTAACCAGTGATAAATAACTTGCAGTATTGCCCCGTTGAGTCGGTGTATGACTTGTTTAACTGAACTGTTACAAATGAGTTTAAGCAAAAGAAATTAATTGACCGTCACCCATGATCCCACCTGAATACTTTGGCTAAAAAAATTCCAAGTCAGAATTTTATTTTAGCCATCTCAATTTTGTCCGTAATAGGAAATGCAGCTTCTTTTTGGTTTGGCCCCACATGGGTAAAAACCGGTATCCTGTTCATTTTAGATTTCTAGGAGGAATGATTATGGGGGTGGGGGGGATATTATTATTTTCGCCCACGACCTTGCAGCGTGCAGCACTTTTTCACTCTTTTGTTACACTTGCATTCTTCAGTGCTTTTATCAGGAGCTGACGGAGCTGGAGATGTGATGTACTGTACAATGTCCATCTGCATTGTCCTGTTTTGCTTTGTGTCCTGAACTGGAACTATGCACAGTTGATTAACCTTGAATGCTTTATGTAGCTGGAAGTGTTGGATATTCTGCAGATACATGTACATTTACTTGTCTGGCATATTTTGTTTCTGTCTCTGTTTTATTTGTTCTTGGATACTTCCTCGGTATGGACAGGTGTTGATCATTGTCCAAACAGTAATATCCAAACTCATGTACATGTATATGAAGTTAACATTAATACACCACTTCCCATTGACACTTGGCATTTCTTAAATGTTACTGCTAGTGTTTGGGTCATGAAATGCAGGGCTCTTGTTGTGCACATGATGGAATTAAAAATGGGCTACATGTACGTCAGTAGACTGGATATATTCATGTGCAGGTGCTTGTACATGTAGGCAGATGGATACTGGCTGTGCGGTTTCCTGGATTCCGAGTTTGAGATGGGAGGGACTGAGTTGATTTTTTTTTTTTTAATTGGGGGCAGGGGATTTTTGGTGTTAATGTTAAGGGTTACTGAAGATGTACAGTAATGTGCCCAAACTTACCGTACTTTGTTTAGAAATAATGGAGATCACCTCCTTGCCACTTCTGTCTGCTATCGTGGAGCTGGAGTAACAACCGTTGAGACTGTGAACAAAACTGACCAAACTTGTCAAATGATATCATGTGCATTGTACATGTACATGTACTAGTACTACATTGTAGCACATGCACATGTACAATGTACATATAGAGCTTGTGAATAGCTGGAATGTACATATACATGTACATGTGTATGCACATGTATACTGTATGTACACATACATGTATGATGTGTACCAATCCAACCACGTGGTATATTTTACATGTGTATGCACATTGATTTTTTGCCTTCACGTTAGCTTGCATTATGCACCATACATGTACATGTATCGGTACGGTAAATATATAAATGTGCCGATTACACGTGACAATTTGTGGCTTACGTGAAGGTCCTGTAAGTATTTTTGAGCTTCTAAATGTGTTGGCCATACTGTACACGTTAAGTATACATTGTTCATGCATGTACATGTAGAGTGTCTCATCGAAATGGTTCAGAAGGTACCACCCACGTGCAAGACAGGTCCTTGCCATTGAAATTTGCCGTAATGTGTTGGATACAACTCTTCGCTCAGTGTCACAGAGTCAAAATTCCATGTTACATGTACATGTAAAGTCACGGCTGAATGGGTAATGGGGACATGCACATATGCATATCATTGTGTACAGTTCACTGGAGTGGGCGTGATACAGCAGTACGTGTGTCCAGAGTATGCAGTGTACATGTACTGTACATGTACCGGTACACTGCCATTTTGACACTGAGGTACACCTTTTGTGTGTGAGTGTGTATGCAAAACTGTACTGGGCAGGATATCCTTGCATCTGGTTCCAGGGTCACTTCTAACCTTGGACTTTCATGCACACTTTATAAGGTGGTGTCATATACATGTACATGTAAATGTACATGTGCATGTGGTATCTGTGGGTTCAGGTTGGCCCAGTGTACATGCAGACTTTACCGGTACATGCAGGTCTGGTGTTGGTTTGAAACTTTGAAACACTTCAAAATTCAAGTTCAGTGTAGTTGGTCTATGTACAGTTCTGTAATATTACACATGGATGTACAATATATTCTACATGATACACATTTTGGCCCATGCTTTCACTTTCTGCCAGTTATGTACAATGTACTTGTGGAGTCAGTCAAACACAGATACATGTAAGAAGAGCACTGATAATACCAGGGTACAAGTTATAACAAGGTATGGGTTTGTTTGTAAAGTCCCAAGGACCTTTTTATAGTACATGTGTGAGGAACTCATATGCACTTGATTGATTGTGGAAGGGGGCCCAACGTATATATGTACATTTAGGGCAGTTTTGTGGATCAAAACACTGGAGGGGGATCCTCGAAATGTTCCGCAGCTTGGTCTATTAAAATTGGCCAATGATTCAAAAAATTACAATGTACACTGTATGTGAATGTATTGTACCTTAGGCCAGTCTACATGTAGATGTACATGTACCAGTCATACATGTATACTTCACTGTGCATTTTTGTGCTCTTTTGGTGCACAAAAGCATGCACATTACATGTGCATGTACCACATGTACTG